CAGACCGTCCTCTCCCCGGCCACCTCCACCAGCTCCTCCAGCAGGACCCCAAGGCATTCCTGGACCAGATTGGAGATGTAACCTCTCCAACGTGTCCTGGGTCGACCCGGGGGCCTCCTGCCGGCAGAACATGCCCGAAACACCTCCACAGGGAGGCGTCCAGGAGGCATCCTGACCAGATGCCCAAATCACCTCAACTGGCTCCTTTCGATCCGGAGGAGCAGCGGTTCTACTCCGAGTCCCTCCCGAATGTCCGAGCTCCTCACCCTATCTCTAAGGCTGAGCCCGGCCACCCTACGGAGGAAACTCATTTCGGCCGCTTGTATCCGCGATCTCGTTCTTTCGGTCATTACCCAAAGCTCATGACCATAGGTGAGGATTGGGACGTAGATCGTCCGGTAAATCGAGAGCCTGGCTTTCTGGCTCAGCTCCCTCTTCCCCACGACAGATCGGCTCAGCGTCCGCATCACTGCAGATGCTGAACCGATCCGCCTGTCGATCTCCCGATCCCTCCTACCCTCACTCGTGAACAAGACCCCGAGATACTTAAACTCCTCCACTTGAGGTAGGACCTCTCCCCCGACCCGGAGGTGGCAAGCCACCCTTTTCTGGTCGAGAACCATGGTCTAAGATTTGGAGGTGCTGATCCTCATCCCAGCCGCTTCACACTCGGCCGCGAACCGACCCAACAAGAGCTGAAGGTCAGAGCTGGATGAATCTAGGAGGACCACATCATCCGCAACAGCAGAGACTAGATTCTCCTGCCACCAAACTCGACACACTCCACACCACGGCTGCGCCTAGAAATTCTGTCCATAAAGGTAATGAACAGAACCGGTGACAAAGGGCAGCCCTGGCGGAGTCCAACCCTCACTGGGAACAGGTCCGACTTACTACCGGCTATGCGGACCAAACTCACGCTCCTCTGGTAAAGGGACTGAATGGCCCTTAACAGAAAGCCACCCACCCCATACTCCTGGAGCGTCCCCCACAGGGTGCCCCTGGGGACACGGTCATAAGCCTTCTCCAAATCCACAAAACACATGTGGATTGGTTGGGGAAACTCCCATGCCCCCTCCATCACCCTTGCAAGGGTATAGAGCTGGTCCACAGTTCCACGGCCAGGACGAAAACCACATTGCTCCTCCTCTATCTGAGATTCAACTATCGATCGGACCATCCTCTCCAGTACCTTGGAGTAGACCTTTCCAGGGAGGCTGAGGAGTGTGATCCCCCTATAGTTGGAACACACCCTCAGGTCACCCTTCTTAAAGATGGGGACCACCACCCCGGTCTGCCACTCCACAGGAACTGCCCCCGATGACCACGCAATGTTGCAGAGACGTGTCAACCACGACAGCTCTACAACATCCATAGCCTTGAGATACCCAGGACGAACCTCATCCGCCCCCGGGGCTCCGCCGCTGTGTAGTTGTTGGACTACCTCAGCGAATAGGTGATAGTATGCCACCAAAACCTTAAAAAACAACATTTTGAGGTGTAAAAGTTGCAGAATGTGTCTTTAATCCCTGTAAAACTGAGCTAAAGCTCCTCGTGTTCGATGATACGGATGAGCTCAATCAGTTGTAGATGTTCGTGATTCATTACAATGTGTGCAGTGGTTCGTGTGATATGTGGCAAACAAACCGAGATAAAGCCTTCAGGTGGGAGAGGAGACAGAAACGTGGGCAGGATTCTGCAGGATAAACATCCATGCGTACATAAAAACAAGCTTTATGACGTCTGGATGAGCCCAACCTCTGTACCTGTGAGGGCTGCAGGCTTGGTGACAGTGCTGTACTGGTTCTGTGTGGAGATGATACTGGATCTGGGGCTCAGGGCGGGAGACGACAGCTGGGTCAGCTCCTCTATGATGGCACTGCTGCGAGGGTGGTTTTTTGGCAACTCGTTGAGCCGTTGTTCCAGGGAATATCGCAGCAGGTCCAGCTTCTGACTGGACTCAGTAAAGCGGGCCTGGGCCTGAAGGAGGACAACAAGCACAAGGAGATGAAGAGGATGACCAGAAGCAGCTGAAGATGGGAGAAGAGGAACGTTTTCTAACTCAGCTGTGGTGCACCGACCTCTGAATGTGCTCTCTTCTCTGTGACTTTTCCAGACCCCAGGAGCTTCATGACGTTCTTGGCTCCCTCCGCCACGGCGGACTCGATGTTGGCGTGGTGACACAGCTCCTCCACTCGCAGGTCCAAAGGGCTGATGATGGACTTTTCTGGAACCAGACAGGAAATCAGAGGTTTGTACCACTCCTGTGGGTGTGTGACTGACATTACTTTATGAAAGCCAGAGCTGACCGATGACATCGTTGCTCTCAAAGCTGAGCTCGTTGGTCTGACTGGCCTTGAGGATCTGCATCCTGATGAACTCGATCTTCGTCTTGCTGTCCTGAAGCATCTGCTGGGCGGCTGCTAGCAGCTTACGGTCCTGCAGGTGACAGTAAACACAGATCAAACACTGCACACATCTGAATTTAGAGGGTTTCACGGCTTAGTCTTCTAAAGACATCATCATTGGACACCAGCTCAGAAGGAGACCCTAAAGACACACCCTACTGAGACCTGAGAGGTGACTGACTGACTGAGGTGCCCTGCATCCAGACGGGTCTAGGTCCGGTGACAACGTCCTGCTCTGAAGCTGTTCTTATGAATCCACAGTACAAAAACCTGATGCATCAACCTGTTCACCAACCAGAAAGAGTCTAAAAGGATTCATTCTAGAGTAAACTAGAACATCTCTGAGACCGAAGCCCAGTGGAAGGCCTCACGTGACCCAGACCCACGACATCACAGACGTGAACAATGCTCACGGCGGTGGTAAACAGTCAGTGATGGTGCCTACACCCGAAGGACAGGGAGGAACCGTGGAGCTTACAGATCAAACATGAAAACAGGATCCTCAACGGGTTTCTGAAACCAGCTCTCCATCCAGCTGATTCAAGAAGACGAAAGGTTCTTTAACTTAGGTTAAATCAAAGCATCAACCGTAAAACGAATGAAAAGACTTGGTAGAAGTTTAGTTTCCTAAAGAAAACCATCATCACCATCACCTTCATTTACACAGCACCTTCAGCGCCCAGGCAGACAGAGACAGCAACAACACACAGAAGCCATTAAACATTCATAAGAAACCCTCCAAGGTCAGGTAGCAATGTTATTTAGCGAAAACTTCCTGCTCTCAGTGGGCGGGGCTAACAGACTCCGGAGTTTGTAGGGGATGTGTCCTCCATGAGTGCACAGATCTGATCCCTGAAGGAGATCCTTCTGGAGCTGAGCAGAGCGACAGATGACCCGGCCGAGTCTGATACCAGCCCAGATTCTATTTTACAACTCGAGAACCCTCCAGAACCTCCTCCTCCCCGATCATACACGCCACGTTGCCACGGTAACCAGAGTGAATGACAGCACTCTCAGACAACGTTTACAAATAAAACTAACTTCAAACCAGGGATGTCTCCAGCCTGGAACACAAGTGACATTTCATATATATATATATATGTATATATATATATATACATATATATATACATATATATACATATATACATATACATATATACATATATACATACATATACATATATATATATATATATATACATACATATATACATACATATACATATATATATATATACATATATATATATATATATATATATACATATATATATATATATATATATATACATATATACATATATGTATATATATGTGTATATATATATATATATACATATATATATATATATATACATATAAACATATATATATATATATACATATATACATATATACATATATATATATATATATATATATATACATACACACACATATATATATATACACACACATATATATATATACACACACATATATATATATACACACACATATATATATATATATATATACACACACATATATATATATACACACACATATATACATATATGTATATATATATTCCAATTTTGGCCGGTGTCTGAGTCGGCGGAGGTGAATAATGGCCGGTCTCTTATTGTGGCCGGGTGGAATGTGGTAACAAGCAAGTACGGGGGGCGGTTGTGTCATCGTCTCACTTTTGATTTGCCAGTGATAGACCGCGAGGGTAACTTTAACCGTGCGGAGACGAAGAGGAGGCGAAAATTTGATATCAACTTCAAAGAGAACGTGCTGATTATGCTGCAGAACACTGGGGAGCAGTAGCAGGGGTTGTATGAACTAGTCACTAGTCGACTTCACCGCTCTATAGTGACTTGTTATGCCTGTCATCGACTAGTCGCTGTCACGTGATAATGACCGGCAAGATGCAGTCCACGGAAAAGACAGCAGCCTGCTGTCAGCAGGTGACAAGCTCCTGCGCTCGGGGGGGGGCAACGCGCTGTGCCAGAGCGTCGGTACTGACACGCGATCGTTCATGTCGGCTCATTTCCTTTAATGTTTTCTGTCTTTTATTTGCGCCTGATGTGTTTCGCTGCTGTGGAGCGGGGCGCATCACCTTGTCCTCCGGTGACGCACCGATCACTGATGCGGCCGGCGAGCAGCGAGCACTTCGCTGTTTTTGCGGTCGGTAGATCTTTTAGAACTGCAGTTCAAAGGTAACTCATAAGGTGAATATATATGAACCCAGGTAGCAGTTTCTCTTTAGGATTGAGAGGAGATGCAGGAAGATAATAAACAGGCAGGACAGAAAACTAGTCAAATAAAAACAAGTTAGTTTTTGTACCTGCTGGTTGCAACAAACAGACACCATTGAAGGTAATCAGAAGTGAGGAACAGAAAATGAAATAATTATTTTAATGTTTAGAGCAGCAGGAACTCTGAGAGGCTGCAGGTACATCAGTGAGTTTGCGGCTGCTGCGCAGGGGGAGGGGGGAGAGGGCTGAAGCAGGGGGAGGGGGGAGAGGGCTGAAGCAGAAACTACCGTTGTTAAAAGAAATGTGTTTAACTCTGAAAATGTGGGCGCAATTTTAATTGTCAAAGACTCCAGCGAACCATTAGTTCATTTTGCTCAAATAGAAATAGAGGCCTGCCTCTAATACTGGCCCTCCTTCCAATAAAGGCCTGGAGCTTGATGAGCTTGAGTCAAATACAGGCCCGGGCCTGTATTAGAGGATTTACGGTATATATATATATATATATATATATATATATATATATATATATATATATATATATATAAGCTGTGAAAGTGTACAAGTGTTAGTCTGGTAGGTCAGGGTTTCTAGTGAAATTTATTATCTTTTCAACAATTTTTAAAGTCTGTTCAGTGGTTAGTATGTGTGTGTAAAAAATAAAAAAGTGAACTTTACAGTGGTCCTCAATCATAGTACGAATAAAGTGGAGCTTCACTGGCACCCTTCAAAAACCAGAGAGCCAAACCACAAGCCCACCTGGTGCCACTACACCTGCAGCTCAGGAAACAAGGACCAGTTAAAACTAAACCCAATCAGCCAACTAATGGAATCTGGTCAGACGTAAGTCTGGATTAGAAAAATCACAAAAAGACTGCAGGTTATTGTGTTTTACATGGGTCATTGCTTTTTTATCCATCCATCCATCCATCCATCCATCCATCCATCTTTAGTTCATGTAAAATAATTTAAATACCATCTAGGCGTGGGAAACATCATGTACTCCACTTTTATTCCTCATGTTGAGCTGATTTCATCCACTACATCCTTCATGTGGATCATCAGCACAAAGTTTTTAAAGTTATCCAAGCAATCATGGCTGGAATCTCAGTTTTATTTCATATCAGCCAGTAGAATAAAATACGTTTGAGGAGTTTTGGCCTCTCCTGGCTTCCGTAGCTGTAACCTGGTTACGCGGAGGAGGCGTTTGGCTCGTCTCTGCACATAAACGGGAAAATCACACCGGGGAAGTGGTGAATTAAAATGTTAGGAGAGGAAACATGAGTCACGTTAGCAAGTCCGGTTTGCTGTGACTGAGAGAGAGTAGCGAGCGAGCGAGCGAGCCTGTGGCGGATGAGAGGAAAAAGGTCAAAAAGACATTCTGGGCTTAGTCGGCTGGCTGTTAGAAACAGAAGGACTCGTTAAATGCTCCTCTACGAATGTTTATCCGTCTCAGACGAGGACCTCGCCTGGCTCCGACCGTGTTAAACCTCTGTAACGTGTTTGGTCCTCAGCCAGCGCCTTGGTCACCCAGGAAACCCCTCGAGCTGAGGGCGTAGCGTGACCAAATATTGTTATTGAGGGCGTTTCCGTATGTAAATGGCTGATTGGATAGGAGCACCTGGGTACACACAGGTGGGGCCACAGCATGTTTCACAGATCAGGACTTTTACCGTTCGTAAGAACATTCTAGATTTCATTCATAGGAAGGAGCACAGGAGAGTTTCTAGGAACGCCTGAAGGTCTTTAGGGGGCGCCGTGGAGCCATTTCCTCCCACTTCAGCTCAGACCACTGAAACAGGAACATTAAATCTAACTAAATAAGACCTGGGCTGCTGCACTGGTTCCTGATGAGAGGCTCTGTGTTCTCCAGCCGCTCCAACATGAAGCCACGACGTAGCAGTTAACACGACCCCAACTAAATACTGTTTCCCTCGGCTCTGTGGATTAGGAGTAACACATGGGCTTTGTGAACAAACAGGTGTGTGTGTGTGCGTGCGTGTGTGTGTGTGCGTCAGCACCTCCTCATGTTTCTCCGCCCCTACAGAGAAACTGTGGGATGCACACCTGCTGGTTCCCACTCACAACCGTTTCCTTCAGTCACAAAAGCCGAGCTGTGTGTTTTAGGAGGTTTATGGACTTTAGAGGTGCTAGTCTTGTCCTCATGTCTCCATGTTGCAGAGGCACAGCCCTTCTACTCATCTGTTTTACTGCGTCGCTCCTTCAGCTCAGCCTTCTGCAGAGTGTGATGTAACAGACTGGACGTGTGGCGTGATGAGGACAAAACAGCAAACAGTCTCCATATAAATGATCTGCATATAGCGCGTGTTGCTGCGCCTTGGCATCCAAGAGAAATAAGGAGGAGAGCTTCGACGGGTGTAACTATTTATTTGCGTCAGGCTGTAGATGCACACATCTCATTCCCAGGATCGCACCGAGCACCTGGTGCCGGTGCAAACACCGTGAAAACTGAAAATACATCATTTACAAATTAAAGACATTCGCTGACAAACATCAGGAGCAGCAAACAGAAACAAAGAACAAACACCTTGCTCCTCTTGCCATGGGGTGCAATCAAAGTAATGCCACGCAGAGGCTTGGCACGGCAAGACCATAGACTAAATGTACAAGCATTTGTTAGGACGACACATTCTTATTTAATCAATTTTAGTCAAAAATACCCGCACTTACGTGGAAGTTTGGTCTGCTGCAACACGCCAAGCCAGGTGGAATGCCAACGCCACGTCCACCTCCGGGTTAACGCCCACTTATATGTGATTGAATGAGTGACGTTGACAATCCACCTGCTCGCAGCCATTTACAGCGCCTTTCCACTGTACTACAGGCGCGCGCACACGCGCACACGCACACACAGACTGTATTATAGCACAGCCGAGATCACGCTGCGATGCTGACATCTTCAAAAAGCTGCAGCTTCAGTGGCTACCGTTGTTCTGCCAACGTTGACACGGATCTTAACTCTATCAGACTCTTCAACCTCTCACTGGATCAGGCAGCCATCCCGTCCTGTCTGAAATCAGCCACAATCATCCCAGTACCGAAGAAGTCTCCCATCTCCAGCTTAAATGATTACCGCCCTGTGGCCCTCAACTTCTGCTTGTGAAATAGCGCCTCCTTGATCTGCATTGATCTACAGTCGCCATGTCATTGGCGGAGCGCTGCAACAGCCGGCTTATGTATATGCGTGAGGTCCACAAGGCACTTTGCATTGACCATTTATGGCAGTAAGTGGGCGTGGTGAGGGCGGGATGTGACTAAAAAGCAGCTGAGAAACATTCTAGATAGTCTCTGATTTATGAAGCGGAGATTGCGTGCAGCTGTGAGTACTCCATGTTTGATAGATCACACACCTGCTTGGCGTAAGTACTTTTGTTTTAATGAGCTTAAGTACGGTTTTAGTAAGGATTCTACGCTATGTGTGATAAATGAGACCCCAGGTCACTAAAGCTTCTTTCCGGAGAATTTCTCCTATCTGATGGCACCATCTAGTGGCTGACAAGCGTATCACACGAAACTGCTGTTCCTCTGTTGTTTTAAGATGGCGACTTCACGTTTCTGGTTATAAATGTGCTTCTGTAGCCGACAAACAGCTAAAACACGTAGTTTTACGAGTATTATTCTCATGCCATGTTGTGTTCTCATATATTTATAATTTAGAGACTTTTTTGTCCGTGAAAAGTTCTTCAACTCTGCGTCAGCCGAGGTATTCCTTACATGTGAAGCGTCAGTCTAACGCCATTGGTTAGTTCTGGTCAGCGCTCAGTTTCCTATTGCACAGAGCTCTGCCGGGCGGGGGGGTGCTTAGCAAAAATGAAAATAAAAAGACGTATTGCTTATATCACAGTACATGACAAGAGAATAACTTTTACGAATTTCTGACAAATCATACATCATTTCTGAAAGAGGAAAACTCTGGAAAGATGCTTTAAGCCAATCAGTAAAAAGTTTCCTATATAAGGAACGCAGCAGGTCGCATCGAGTCACTGACTAGTGTCAGAGTCTTTACAGCAATCCTCATACTAAGGAAGCATGCAGCGACAGTGAAGAGGAAAACTCCCTTTTAACAGGAAGAAACCTCCAGAGGATCCTGGCTCAGTATAAGCAGCCATCCTCCACGACTCATTTAAGTGTCTTTGGTTCTCAGCCGTTCAATCCATGCTATCAACAGTAACAATATTATTGGTGTTTTATAAATAATACGTAGGAAAACATCCATAAGTGTACAGGTGCTGGCCAGTAAATTAGAATATCATCAAAAGGTTGAAAATATTTCAGTAATTCCATTCAAAACGTGAAACTTGTACATTATATTCATGCAATGCACACAGACCAATGTATTTCCGATGTTTATTACGTTTAATTTTGATATTTATAGGTGACAACCAATGAAAACATCAAATCTGGTATCTCAGAAAATTAGAATATTCTAAAGGCCAATGAAAAAATGTTTGTTTCTCTAATGTTGGCCAACTGAAAAGAATGAACATGAAAAGAATGTGCATGTATAGCACTCAATACTTAGTCGGGGCTCCTTTTGCCTCAATAACTGCAGTAATGCGGCGTGGCATGGACTCGATCAGTCTGTGGCACTGCTCAGGTGTTATGAGAGCCCAGGTTGCTCTGATAGTCGTCTTCAGCTCCTCTGCATTGTTGGGTCTAGCGTATTGCATCCTCCGCTTCACAATACCCCATAGATTTTCTATGGGGTTAAGGTCAGGCGAGTTTGCTGGCCAATCAAGGACAGGGATACCATGGTCCTTGAACCAGGTGCTGGTGGTTTTGGCACTGTGTGCAGGTGCCAAGTCCTGTTGAAAGGTGAAGTCTGCATCCCCATAAAGTTGGTCAGCAGCAGGAAGCATGAAGTGCTCTAAAACTTCCTGGTAGACGGCTGCATTGACCCTGGACCTCAGGAAACAGAGTGGGCCAACACCGGCAGATGACATGGCACCCCACACCATCACTGACGGTGGAAACTTTACACTGGACCTCATGCAACGTGGATTCTGTGCTTCTCCGCTCTTCCTCCAGACTCTGGGTCCTTGATTTCCAAAGGAAATGCAGAACTTGCTTTCATCAGAAAACATAACTTTGGACCACTCAGCATCAGTCCAGTCCTTTTTGTCCTTGGCCCAGGCGAGACGCTTCTTGCGCTGTTTCTTGTTCAAGAGTGGCTTGACACACGGAATGCGACACCTGAATCCCATGTCTTTCATGAGTCTCCTCGTGGTGGTTCTTGAAGCGCTGACTCCAGCTGCAGTCCACTCTTTGTGGATCTCCCCCACATTTTTGAATGGGTTTGTCGTCACAATTCTCTGCAGGGTGCAGTTATCCCTAGAGCTTGTACACTTTTTTCTACCACATTTTTTCCGTCCCTTCGCCTGTCTGTTAATGTGCTTGGACACAGAGCTCTGCGAACAGCCAGCTTCTTTAGCAATCACCTTTTGTGTCTTGCCCTCCTTGTGCAAGGTGTCAATGATTGTCTTTTGGACAGCTGTTAAGTCAGAAGGTTTCCCCATGATTGTGGTGCCTTCAAAACAAGACTGAGGGACCTTTTAAAGGCCTTTGCAGGTGTTTTGAGTAAATCAGCTGATTAGAGTGGCAGCAGGTGTCTTCTATATTCAGCCTTTTCAGAATATTCTAATTTTTTGAGATACCAAATTTGGAGTTTTCATTAGTTGTCACTTATGAATATCAAATTTAAATGTAATGAACATTGGAAATACATTGGTCTGTGTGCATTGCATGAATATAATGTACAAGTTTCACGTTTTGAATGGAATTACTGAAATATTTTCAACCTTTTGATGATATTCTAATTTACTGGCCAGCACCTGTAGGCCTGTCTGTCCGTCTAGAGAGAGATGAGGGGCGACGGGCTTTTCTGATCAGGAAACGGCTGGCAGTGAATGAGTTAATAACTTTTATCTTTACGCTAAAGCAGACCCTCAGAGCTGTCCATGGCCCCTGCCTGCTGACGTGTGGACCAGCCGTGCTGCAGAGGCGTACCTCGGTGTGTTCTGCCTGTTCCTGACTGAAGACTGGAAGATGAAGCTCTTCAACCTGGCCACCATGCCTCTGGTGAACACAAGTCATGTTTGGTTCAGGAGCCTACCTCCATCTGACTGCAGCGTTTCTATTAACAGTTACAAAGTTGTTGATAAGCGACCATCTTGTCTTTATTACAGGATGGCTCACAGCTGATCACAGCTAATGACGCTACATTAGAGCATCCTGCTGCAACAAGCTCAACCTTTATTAATGACTCAATTAGTCCAGTTGTTTGTGGCAGCCCTGATTCAAACACCTGAACCCCTCTGAGAGTTGACCTGAGCCTCGACATGTACGATTAGGAAGGTTGTGAGTCTGGATCCACTCTTTAAGTTCAGTCTAAAGGTCTGCTTTGATTTTAGTAATTTGCAGCCTGACAGGAAGCAGCTAAAGCCTGACCCTCCCAGTGTGGCTCTTACCTTGGAGGAGCCATTGGAGTACATCTGAATCATGTTCTCTGCTCCTTGTTTCACCTTCAGCTCGATGTCGTTCTGACGCTTTAGAGCTGCGAGGCGGCTGCTGCTGGTGCACATTTTTGCTTCACTGTTTGGAGTATCTGGGGTTAGAGGGCATTCTGGGTAGAGAAACAAACAGGAAGAGTTACAGACTCACCTGGAAACAACACTGAAAAGGTTTTATGTGGCTGGATTCAGGCTCAGTAGTGTAGTGTCACCATCACGTCTCCTTGTGAACAAACCCACTTAACAGCAGGGCTTCCACAGTGGCGTCGGCTCTACACCGCCTGGACTGGGCAGAGTGTTTGCAACTGGGTAGCCTGGATTTTTCCTGTGCACAACCATTCATTTTTTCAGCCCTCTTCCCAAGGCGGTCTGCTTTGGGCTGAACAGGGCCAACACACCAAAAGAATAAGCCAGTAGGGGCTTCCCGCACACACGAGTCATTTTCATTCTGGTTACTGAGGGGGAAACGGGCCTCTGACTGAAGCATCTCTGTTTGAGGGAGCAGCATCCATTCAGCCACGGGGCGTTTCTGCTCGGGCTACAAAAATGCCTTCGTGGGGGTTACTGTAGCTTTTCAACCGCTAATACACTAGTCTATGTACTTTAGACCCAATTTTTATGGTTATATGGTACAAAGCCACCAATACTTTTCAACAACTGGACATCAATTTGTTATTTTCCAACAATGTTTTGATGGATATTTCCAGAGATTAAAGGTAAAAACTACTGATTGTCTCTTAAGATTTGGGCCACGTTTATGCAGTAATCCTCAAGTTTATTCATACCCTTCATTAAAGAAAACAAAATTTACACAAGTCACTGAAATCATTCGAAAGTCAAAATATAACAAATGAAAAACACCTCAATTATAAAAAGGCTAAATAATTAGAATTAGAAAGCTCTACTGCCTTTGTTCAACAGCAGAAAGTGCTGCTGGCATAACGAAACTGCAACGGTCCTGGTCCTAATATTTACATAACATGAGTAAAGAAATGAGAAAAATCATAGGACAAGTAAAAGCACCATCAATAACGATGGTACCAAATCCAGTACTTTTTAAGACACCGACTGAACTCCGGAGAACCGACTGAGTACAGATTCACGTCACATGAAAAGGTGCCATGTTTCGGTACCCATTCTTTATAACAAGAACTTTCGAGACAGCGATTTGTCAAGAAAGAGAGAAAGAAAGAAAATGATCTTTTATATAGCGCCTCTCAAGATAAAAATCACGAGGCGCTTCAGAAAAACCAACAAAAAAACAACACACAATTGAAGTGTAAAAAAAGATTAAGAAAAACAAAATAAAGATCAAAAATAGGTTCAGAATGAGAAAAGATCTGAATGTCGTAGGGCTGTGTAGGCTGACACGGCTCTGCAATATGGTGTGGAAATCGGGGGCGGTTCCACTGGACTGGTAGCCCGGGTTGTGTTCCAACTAGGGGTTGTATCAACTAGTCGACTAGTCAACCTCACTGCTCTGTAGTGACTTTTTATGCCTGTCATCGACTAGTCGCTCTCACGTGATAATGACAAGATGCAGTCCTCGGAAAAGACAGCAGGTGACGAGCCCCTGCGCGTCTGGATCGAGGCGGAGGCAAAGCGCTGTGCCAGAGCATCGGTACTGACACCCGCCGTAAAACGGACATTTGACCGAATTGTGACCTTTACCCTCTTGCAATTTAACCTTCCCCTCACCCCATCCTAACCTTAACCAGCTTGCACATGCAAAGCTCTGATTGTTGACGCGCTTCACACATCTGCGTCCTGACCAGATGCCCAAACCACCTCAGCTGACTCCTTTCGATCCGGAGGAGCAGCGGTTCTACTCCGAGTCCCTCCCAAATGTCCGAGCTCCTCACCCTATCTCTAAGGCTGAGCCCGGCCACCCTACGGAGGAAACTCATTTCGGCCGCTTGTATCCGCGATCTCGTTCTTTCGGTCATTACCCAAAGCTCATGACCATAGGTGAGGATTGGGACGTAGATCGACCGGTAAATCGAGAGCCTGGCTTTCTGGCTCAGCTCCCTCTTCACCACGACAGATCGGTTCAGCGTCCGCATCACTGCAGACGCCGAACCCATCCGCCTGTCGAACACAGATAAGGTTTTTCTTTACCTTGCTGGCGGTTTCGTTTGCGGCTGCAAAGGTAAAGAAAAACCTTATCTGTGTTTAAAAATGAACCGAAAATGGAATGTTTCATCAGAGTTCAATCTCAGTTACATTACGTTACCATTCACAATCATCTGTCCATCATCATTAGTATTAAAAATATAGTAGGGCTGAACAATTTTGGAAAATAATCTAATAGCGATTTGTTTTCTTCAATATTGTAATTGCGATTTCATTCACAATTATTTTCTCAAGGGGCTTTTCTCATTTTTCAACTAACGGAAGCAAAAAAAAGATCTATGTAACTTGTACTGAATATAAACAAGTTTATTTGTCTACACACACATAAACACTCACAAGTAAAGACAACATCTTGTATTTGAAGGTGCAATGCTTTGCAGCCAGGAGCACATCCCTTGAAGGAGAATAGGTATTAGCATCAATCAACTGTGAAAATATATTTGCAGGAAAGAAGTGTGTCCTATTTATTGAAGTCTTTTGTGTTTAGTTTTTGACGTCTTGTCCATGCAGAGCTTCCGTAGTTCAGTTACGTTCACAGCTGCTAGCCAAAACTCAGTGGAGTTGAAGTAGTTTTCTAGCTTTACTAAAATATCTGTCTGTACTTATTTGATTAATGGCAGTTTTTACTTTTATTAGACTCCAAATGTAATAATTTGGCACGTTCCTAATTCGTAATTTGTAAGAATCTATTCAGCGATATTAGCATTAGCATCCCTACAGGTTTTTCAATGTATATTAGCATTGTGCTAACCACTCGCTGCCAGTCAAATCGCAGCCTTTGCGATTCAAAAATCTCCTTTTGTCACATCGCAATTTCATTGCATATGCAATTAATCGTTCAGCCCTAAAATATAGTAATAAATAGATTTCTATTAACTAAATTTTTGCCTCTGTGTCAAATTATAATAAAGTGTTGGTTCCCTGGCAAACCCAAAGGACCTATTTACATCATCAATAAACGAAAGTTCAATAATATTGATAATCCATATTTTTATGGGATATTGCATTTTGTTGAATACCTTTATATTTCATTGATAATTTACTAAATGTAACCACTTACAAACCGTTACAGAGCTTAAGGGTTAATTTGAACAAATTCACTACATCAATATTCATTGTTGCATGGGCGACAACACTAACGTTGCACAATTTACAGCAGCCATTTATTTTGGTTACTGTCAGCTGTAACATACACCTTACAACTTCTCCATTTATCCACACAACAGTCCATAAAAGAGCTGTTTTCCTTAGCATAACACAACACGCGTTCTGAGTAAGAATAGTTGTGATAGGTGGAGCGCTACGTCAGGCCCACAAAAAGTCTGAATTTCTCCAAAAATGTGTCACCCATCGTCATTTGTTGGACATATGAATATCAGTGGAAATCCTCTGTCAGGAATCTTGGCGTGACTTTTGACCCAGCTCTCACCCTGGATTCTCATGTCAGTTCTCTTGTTGGCTCTTCCTTCTTCCATCTCAGGAACGTTGCTAAGCTGAGTCCCATTCTGTCCCGCTCTGAACTTGAGACAGTTCTCCACACCTTCATCTCCTCACGCTTAGACTACTGTAACTCTCTTTTCACGTGTCTGAGCAGAACCTCCCTGAACCGTCTACAGGTGGTTCAGAACGCCTGTGCTCGGCTTCTGACCAAGTCCTTCAAACACACCCACATCACCCCGCTTCTCCTCCAGCTTCACTGGCTGCCAGTCAACTTCAGGGTTCATTTCAAGATCCTGGTTCTGGGGCCTCATTTATCAAGCTTGCTTACGCACAAAACGGGGTTGGACAACTGCGTAAGCAACTTTCCGTTGACTAAGGACCTGGCTTACGCACATGTTGGACATGGAGAGCACCTGCAGTGCTGCTGCTGAGAAGATACAATTATGAAATCCTGCAGCATTATCACTTGTACCGCTTCGTTTTCACACAGAACAAGACCCCCCCCACACACACACACACACACACACCCCACATCCATGCAGCCTGAAACACATAATACAGAATGCAGAATATCAGCAGGGGGACAGTCTGAGACAGAACATCATGCGTCTGTGACAGTGTGTGTCCCGTCACTGTGACCTGATTGACCCTGGCTACTTGTACAGGGGGGAACTCTGTTTGGGTGACTGGTTAGCGCGCGTGACTTTAGCCCGGGAGTCTGAGGATCGAATCCCAATTGGACCATTTTTTTTATATCCGCCACAGATCTCTCTGAAGAACTCAGCATTGACGGCTTCAGCAACGCTGTGCCACTCTGTGGATTTTCTCTTATTTGTTTAGCAAAAGCACTTCCTTTCATTTCTCCACCTCACCCACAGGTACCTCAACTTCTACTTGTGAAATAGCACCTCCTTGATCTGCCTTGATCTATGGTCGCCATGTCAATGGCGGAGCGCTGCAACAGCCGGCTTATGTATATGCATGAGGTCCACAAGGCACTTTGCATTGACTATTTATGGCAGTAAGTGGGCGTGGCGAGGGCGGGATGTGACTAAAAAGCAGCTGAGAAACATTCTCGTTAATCTCTGATTTATGAAGCAGCGATTGCGTGCAGCTGTACGTCCTCCATGTTTGGTAGATCACACACCTGCTTGGCGTCAGTACTTTTGTTTTGCTGAGCTTAAGTACGGTTTTAGTAAGGATTCTACGCAGTGTTTGATAAATGAGACCCCTGTCTATAGGGCCTTACATGGACAAGCACCATCTTACATTGGTGATCTTCTTAGTCCCTACACCCCCAGCAGGTCCCTGAGGTCCAGTGATCAAAGCCTACTGGTTGTGCAGCACCAGACTAAAGGTCAAAGGTCACAGATCATCTGCTGCTGTGACCCCCAGACTCTGGACCTCTCTCCCCCTGAGCCTGAGATCAGTGGACTCAGTGGTCTCCTTTAAAAAGCAGCTGAAGACTCACTCGTTCAAGCGTTGGCGTAACCTTCATCACCTTCTTATTCTGCCTTTCCTGGGATTCATCTCATTCATT